GCTGGAGAGGATCACCTCCAGGGGCTTCCTCCCAGGCAGAAAGATAACATATAGCCTGACTTTAATAAAGTAACCACCAAACTGCAAAGAGCACTCTGGCTCATTTCCCCGGGGAAGCAATGCTGTTGCTTAAAATAAAAGGCTTGAAATAAAATAAATGTTCACCTGCACTGTTATCCCTTAAAATAAAAAGGGATTCTTCCACTGTCCCTGCACCTCCAGTTTTGGCCTCAGTTTCCCCTACACAACATTTCTGAGGGCTTCACCTTGCTGCTGATTGCTCTGCTCTGTTTCGCATGAAATTCTACTCCAAACCTTTTGTTGCACACAGCAAGGAGGGTTAACTTCAATTTAAGGGGGAGCCTCAAGTCAATCTCCCCTTTAGATTTTGTTCCATGAGATTTGTGATAAAAGTCTTCTCCTCAAAGAAGCAGATTCCTCACAGAGGTCAACTCATATTATCTTTTTTTGTCATTAACAGGTTATTAACTGCAACCTCCCATTTCATTAATTACACAGCATCTGGAAGGATTTGGTCCCCACGGGAGGTGGGTAGACCAGAGACACTGTAAACCCAGTGCATAAACCCCAGGCCTCAGCCAGCAATGCAGCCAAAACTCCCTGGAGTGAAGCTGCTCTGGTCTCCAGAGGGAAAGCCTCATAATCCCAAATCTGTTTTTACATCATTTGGTGGCCTCTGTCTCCACACAAGCTCAGCATTTCACAGACCTTGGGTGCATTTATCCTCAAAACGCTGATTTAGCCTGCTCTAAGAGGAAAGCAAGGACCACTTCCACTTAGCAGATTGTCAGAGGAACAGAAGAGATTTCCTCAAGGTCGTTTAAGACAAGAATGGAGAGGGGGACCTCATCAGAGCCTGCTCCCATCCTTCTTCATTAATGCTGCCACTTTAATTGTCCAGGAATATCCTGTGAGGCTCAGGGAGTCCAAGGCCTCCCTTTTGTGTGCATAAACTGTCCCCTTGTTTTCATGTGCAGATGTGGCCACTGGACATCCCTCTGTCTCTGTGCCAAACCCTGGCTTGTGTGTCTTTGAGACATCCCATTTTCCTGCTGCTGAGGGTGAAAACACGGGATCAAGGAAAGATGAGAGCGCAGCACAAGAGCTGAACGATGAAACACGAGATTCTCTGAAGGTCTGGTGATTTATTTCAATCTAAACGCTGGGAATGTGGGAGATTAGCACTCAAAAGTAACTGAAGAATATGAAGGAAGACACAAAAGTATGAAGATACCTAAACAATCTTAATTTTGTCCTCTATTCATCCTGATCAGTAATTATGTTATTATGATTAAAGTGTTTTTGTTGTCATTCCAGATTACACTATTTAGATTTTTAATTGTTAATGACAATTACTTATAAAAGCTCATTTCCCCAAATATAGCCCCTACGCAAAACTTCAGGAATTTCAACTGTGTAGAGGTTTCATTACTCCCTTGCAAATATCACTCAGTACAAAGAAAAATAATAAAACAGGGCTCCCTTCTTAAAGAAATCCCTTTTAATCCTTATAATTCAGAAAGCATCTAATAGATTTACTTTTAATTCTGTGAGAATAAGCCGGGGTGTTGGGTCCACAACCTCGACCCGTCTCCAGGAGCTTCTGTGGGAACCAGGGGTTTTATTCCAGCTGGGCCACCAAGTGAGCAGTTTCCTAATTCAAGATCTTTTGCTCCTTAATTCTCAAGGAAGGGTCTTTGGTTTTTGGTGTTTGTTTTTTTTGTTTTGTTTTGTTGTTGTTTTTTGGGGGGGTTGTTTGTTTTTTAAGTGTATTGTTGCATTACAAATATTTCTTAGAGATCCATGACTGGCACGTGGGGAGCAGAACTGAACCCAGTTCTTAGCCCTGGACAGAAATGGCTCTGAAATGTCCCAGAGAGGGTTCACAAATTGTTTAAGGCCCTCTAATAGCCCTTTTCTCTGACACGTTTGGGTTCTTTTAAAGAGTTTGCAGACTGCCAGTTTAAAAAGCATTAAGCTGGAAGGTTTTCCTTCTTCTTCCCGAGCCCAGGAGGGTGGACAAGGTGAGAGGCAGTGCCAGGAGGACCGAGGAGTCCCCATTCCTCACCCCAGGGAACACATCCACGACCTTCAGCTGCACAGTCCCACTGCTTGTGGGGAAGAGCCAGACAGATCCATGTGCAGAAATACCGCTGGTGTGAATCACAGGTGATGTTTCAGGTGTGCTGAAGAGGTCTGGCCTCACCTCCCAAGTCCTACAGGTGAGGATTTTGCAGTGCTGATATGAGCTCCCTGTGTCGGGGTAGACAAGTCTCTGTGTTTCTCCTCTTTTCTTCCCGAGATAATAAACCCAAGCTAATCATCCCTCTGCCCCCTCTCCGTCCCACTGTACCAGCTCTGCAGATGGCTGCTTGCCACCGTGGGCTGGGCTGGAGCCCAAACTGGCTGGAGCTCTTGGGGTGCCCCGGCACTTGCACAGCAATCACAGGGAGGGCCGGCAGGGAACACCTGGATCCTGCAGCTGGGGCAGTTGCCTTCACCCCTGGGGGACCTGCACCCACAGATCAGGGAAAGCAGCAAGGAAAAGAAAATAAAGGCTGGGTTGGAAAAAACGTTGAGGGGGGAAAAGAGGTGAAATAACCTCCACTGCACAGCCTTGCAGGCGTCGCTCCCGCCCCAAACCCCACCGCGCCTCCCCAGCCGGCACCGTTGCTAAGTGACAGCTGATTTACTACATCACTCACCCATCCGGCGGCGGCGGCAGCAGCAGGAAAGCCAAGGTAGAGGTGCAGGCAGCGCTGGCCAGACCTCACCCTCAGCATGGCCAGGCAGTGCCTCATCCCACACCTGCACAGGCGACCTGCACGTGTCACTGGCCTTTAGGATCAAACTCCAGGTGAAAAGGAGCAGGCAGGGATTGGGCTGCGTGGCAGGAGCTGGTGGGCCTGATGGGTTGTGCTTGGGATCACCAGGCAGTGGGAGAACTCAGCCATGGGCAGTTTTTTCTCCATATGTGCCCTTTCCTGCAACAGCAGCACCCAATGCACGAGTGGTGCAACCTGTGGAAGGGTGAAGGGAAAAGATGCCCTCCTGCAAAGTTTCCTAGGCAAAATTAGCAGGGAGTGGGGTTGAGACTAACAAAAAAATCCAACTTTCTCACCTGAACTTCAGCCTCTTCTGTATAAAAGGACTCAGGGAAGAGTCTTCTTGCAAAGGGCAACCTCACACATTTCACAGAAGCAGCATAGGAAGAAAACCAACACAGCCCCAAAAAATAATCCAACTGAATCAACAGATGTCTCTACAGAGCTAGTAAGAAGGTAGAGTACTGTACCTTTACTGACTTGGTGCTGTTTGTACATGTATTTATTGTCCTTTCCCCATGCAGCCAATGGAAAGAGATGGATTCCTCCTCCCCGGCCTTCCTCAGAGCTCAGCCCAGGAAATAAAGGTGACACCAGTGTTTTTAGGACACCTCACACCCCAGTCCAGCCCATCTTCCAGCTGATCTGCCTCATCTGTGCCACCCACCTGCCTGTTGTTGTGGGCTTTGAGACTAACACTGAGAGTGAACCTCTGAGAAGCCAAATAATTTTGTGTTTGCAGCAGCAAACTCCTCACCTGGTTTTCTGCTGGTGAGAGAACAAGGTTCCATGGAGGACCTTTGTCTGTAGACAGACATTTACACCCTTAACACCTTTTTTTCTCCTACTTTAGAATATTCTCCTGGTAATTTTAGTTTGGGTTTGGTTTTTTTTCCCTGGCTGTAAGAACCTCTGGCTAATGCATGTAAAATAGTTTCTTCTTTCCACACTGAAAGACCTGTATGCTTGGGGTTTTTAATGGTTTGTTTAAACTCTGGCAGCTCTGCCTGCTTCCCTGCTGATCCCCAACCTGCAAGGCCTATTCAGAGGGGGCTGTGAGCTCTCAAACTCTCTCTGGAAATGTTCAGGGCCAGGTTGGACGGGGCTTGGAGCACCTTGGTCTAGCAGAAGGTGTTCCTGTTTATGGCAGTGGGTGGAACTGGGTGACCTTCAACTCCAAACCATTCTAGGATTTAATGAAACACCAGTGGGTTTCAAGCCAGCTTGATGCCAAAGAGGATCACTCTGTTAATAGATCCTACATCTCCCTGGGGATCTTTTTATCTATTTTATATTGGCTTCCTTCAGACAGTGAAATGGAGGTGTTAGGTGCAGCTGAAGCCCCCCAAGCCAGTTTCCCCCTGGCACCCCAGAAAAGGGACTGGAATCCCCTGAGCGGGAGTGGGGGAACACACGGAGCACAGCTGCTCATGAACACTGAGTCTTGCATATCACAGAATCGTTTAGGATAGAAAAGACCTCTGAGATCGTCAAGTCCAGCTTGTGACCAGTCACCACCTCGACACCCAGCCCAGAGCACTGACTGCCACATCCAGTCTTTCCTTAAACACCTGCAGGGACGATGACTCCACCACCTCCCTGGGCAGCTCATTCCAATGTCTAATCAACTTTTCTGTGAAGAAATTTTCCCTGACGTCCAACCTAAACCTCCCCTAGTACAGCTTAAGGCGATGTCCTCTTGCTCTATTGCTGGTTTCCTGTGAGCAGAGCCCGGGCCCCACCTGGCTGCAACCTCCTTTCAGGGAGCTGTGGAGAGCAACAAGGTCACTCCCGAGCCTCCTCTTCTGCGGGTTAATCCTCCTGTTCCATCTCAGTCCTGAGGATGCCAGCGTGTCACTGGTGCTCCTCTGTGTGCGTGTGTGTGTGTATAGGGGGGATGTGGGTGTGTGTCCATACGTGGGATGTGTGCCCACATGTGGATGTGAGGGTCGGCGCATCTCTGCCAGGGCGGGTGCCCCTCTCTGCGCCCTCGGGGGGTGGATGTGTGCCCGCGGGGGTGCGCACACGCACATACACGCGTTTACGTGCCCCCACGCGTGTGCGGGTCCCCGCGGGGAGCGCTCCCCGGGCCGTGCGTGGCGAGGGGCGGCCCCGTCCCCGCTCCCGCAGCCGCGGCGCCGCCCCCGCTGCCGCCCGGCCCCGCTCCATCCCTCCTCCCTCCTCCCTCCCGCAGCCGCACCGAGCCACAGACCGCGGCGGGGCCGGGCAGGGCCGCACCATGACCGAGACCACCAAGACCCACGTTATCCTGCTGGCCTGCGGCAGCTTCAACCCCATCACCAAGGGCCACATCCAGATGTTCGGTCAGTGCCCGCGGCGCCGGGGCGGGGCGGGGGGAGGCTGGGGGGATGTACCCCACGGTGGGGATGGGGGGTAAGGGGGGGGGTCGGGGTGTGCGTGGGGTGCAGCCCCGCTCCCGGGGACCGCGGGTGGGGGAGCGGCGGGGCCGGGCGCTGTCCGCGGCCGCTGGTGCTGAACCGCCCGGGCCTCCCCGACCTGGCCCCCCATCCCTGGGGGCTGTCCCCCTCGGACAGCGGGGTTCGCCCCTCTGCACAACACCCCCCTTGTCACGCTGCCGCTCCGCACCCCCCCGGGGTCGGTCCTGGCCGTGTTTGTCCCCCCGCTGCTCAGCCCCGGGCTCTGCCAGCCTGCGGCCGCCGCAGCGCTTCCATCTCCTCTGGCCGGGGAGGAGAGAGAGCCAGGCAGCCACAGCCAGGCTCCGAAAGTCAACAAAAATACTGGCAGTTAACCGAGATTTTGGAGCACCCGACGTTTAGATTGATAGGAATGGGAAATGTTCGTGTGAGATGATGGGTATTACGGAGCGTCCGTGCTATGATACAGATGATGGGGATGGTAAAATCGCCGCCACAGCCCGCTCAGGCAAGACAAGAGGGAGGGAGGGAGGGAGAGAGAAAGGGAGGGAGGAAGGGCCATCTCCATCAAAGGCAGTCTGACATACCATAAATACTGACGGGTTCGGGTAAAGCTTGAAATGCCTGAAGATCCCTTATGCAAACAGCAACTCGCTTGGGGCAGGGAGGAGTCCTGCGAGGGTGAAGTGTCCACTGCAGACCACTGAAAAAAAAAAAAAAGAGAACAGAAGGATTAGCTCCTCTAATATCCCTTCTCAGAGTGTAGAGACAGGATCCATCCTTTATGTCTGATAGGAGATCTGAGGCTGGGGAGCAGATGCCGAAGGTCTCGTGCTGCCGCTGGAGAAGCATCCCTGGGGTTTCTAAAAGCTGTACATAAGTTTTTTTAAGAGCAAAAATAATTGAAAATCGGCTCGGGGTATTTCTACGTCAGACCTTGTTTTTGTAGACCATAACGAGTTGGGCAGGAGGCTGGAAAATGATGGCTTTCTAGATGCAGACGATCACATTGTTATTCCATTTTGTAAGTGCCTGAAAAAATGTAGTCCTGGGCAACAACATACCTGATATTTCAAAAAAATCCTACTCCTTAAGCTAAAGGAAATTGCCAACAAGGATCAAGAGGACCTGTTTAAAAATAAAAATAATAATTACATGAAATTGCAAGGGCTTGGTGGATAGAAGCCAACCACTGATGAAACAGATTTCTGTAAATCGCCTTCGGTCCTATTTTGATTAAGTAATACTGAAAATATCAATGCAGCCCATATTCAGTGGACTAAAAACCAGTAAGAAGATATTTTAGAAAATAAAGATTGGTGAGATATTAGTATGCAGTGGGCGTTCTTATAGACTCAAAATGAGATTTTTTTAATTTTTTTTTTTTTCTCAGTGCTGTTCAGTGTCTTTATCAAAGACGTGAAAGGAAATATATAATCCCTGCTGGGAAAAAAAGTGCCAGTGACCCCAGAGAGGTCAGAATAGCAATTCATGCTGGTAATGAGGCAGTTGTGCTGCCTGGCTCGGGGTGTTTGGTAAAAAGGGCTTGTTCAAACAGCAAAGTCATATGTCCAGCGAGGAAGAACGCACATCCAACATCAACAACAGGCAAATGTCTTCTGCCAAACAGCGCCGGTGTCAGGCACTGGAGGAGGGATTGTACACAGCCCACTGAATGCAAACTCTGTGTGGTGCTGGGAAATACAGCAGCAAAGGCGCTCCTCGTAGATACAAGCAGGGGAATATGAAGCAGAGGAAGAAAGGTTGTATTATTTTCCATGTACAGCATCAGCAAAACCCTTCTCGGAGGAGCAGTGACAAGAATTGCATTGGCTCCAGAAGCCAGGCTTGGTGGCAAGAGAGGCTCAGTCTGGATCCACTCTTTAAGATGTAAAGGGGCAACTCGATCTGCTTAGGGGAGGGATATGTGATCTCTGGTGGAAGGGGGCTCCTTTAATCAGCAGAACTGGGACCGGTGGCATGCTGGGAGCAGGTTTGGATCCTGCACAACTTCAAACTACAAATATGGGGTGTGGGTTTGAGTGAAGGTAAAGTACCTGGGTACCTGATGGATTCTCCATCACCTGAAGGCTGTGAGTGAACACTCAGACATCTTCCAGGAGGACATGTTCTAGCTCAGAGGATGGCTTGACAGAGAAATTTTCTAGGCATGCATCCCATAGAAATCCTGGAATATGTCTTGAGATACCTGATGGAGACAAATGAGACTTCCACAAGGAAAAGACACAGAATTTAGCTTCTAAATCCCTGATCATTTTTATTTGAGGAACACTTCCCCCCAGGTCTAAAATAATAATTACATGAAGCCGTGGGAATCTCAACCAAGATGTGTGCTATTCCTCTAGCTCTGTGCTGTAGAGTTCAACCAAAATAGTGCTCCATCCTGGAAATGTTGCATTTCAAACAGCTGAATTTGTGCAAAAACATTGTCTTTATCATTCAGGCAAATGCTTGGGCTCTGAGAGCCTGACAGGAGGAGACTTTTTGCTTAAGGTAGAGAGATTAAAATTTATCTCTTTAACACATGGCACTAATTAAGACAGAAGGAAGTGCAGTATTTGCACGGGGATGTCACTGCAGACGTACCACCTATATGCCAACCATCATTTTTCTCACTATGGATTTTAGCATGTTTTATTCAGGCCAAAAGCCAACCTTTTCCCATAGGATTTTTTGCCTGAATAGGAGATGGGCTAATTATGTGGAGTTCTCTTCTAGTGGGGGAAAGGTTCCCACTGGGCTATTCTTTCCACCAGTCATGTGAATTTAAGGCTCATCATTATCCCTGGGTTTCCAGAAAGCTGGGGTCCTTCTTGCAACCCCAAATCTGCAACGCACCACTGACCCTTGTGCCTGTGTGGAACTGAACTTACCACAGCAGGGCTCCCTCCATCCTCTGCCAGTAACAACTCTGGGGCCCCCCAGATGAAGCTGATTCACGCCTGTGTGTATAAAATGAATATCATACATGTAAATTAATACTCAGCATAAGATACGTAACATATAACAAAAAAAAAGTAGGTGAGATATGGGGCTGTACCTCCTTACCAGGGGGTCGACACAAACGCCCCACACAGTCCCCAAAACAGAGTTATTTGTGATATCTGCTGTGCTTGGAGAGATAGGTGTGTTCTGAGTCACAAATCTGAGTTGTATTTTCCAGCTTTGCGTGGCTGTGAGGAAAAGTTTGGGATGCTACTGTGGCTGGGAGATAAGGCAGGAGGAGAAACGGGGGAGAGGCTCTTTCTAAAGCTTGACACGAACACTGGTGGCCTTTCACCTGAGATGAAACCCCCCTGCAGCCAGCTCAGGAGGGGAACCTCCTCCCAGCCATCCCCACGCTGGCTTTCCACGGGGGACAGGGGATTTGCTGCCTAAAGGACATCTCCCTCCATCTTGGCCTCCTCACACTCTGCCTCCCTCTTCCTCCCCGTGCAAAGGATGCCACCCAAAGGACAGAAGCCAAGGGACCAATGTCAAAAGCAAAACCCAATCCCTGCAGGCCTGCTGAATGCGCTGAAACCCGTGCTGGCCCCCTGCCAGACAACGAGCCTGTGCTTGCTCTGACAATTAAATCATTTCCACACCTTGGCCCAGCTCAGGGAGCCCCAACACAACTGCGTTCAAGAGCTTGAAAACCAAAGGGCAGCTCTGCAGAGCAAGGCAGAAAGCACCTTTTTTTCAATAAAAAAAAAAAAAAAAAACCCAACCCCCCCCCGTGGTTCAGTTTGAAGGTGGCCTTGGGTAAAATATTGGGATTAAAAAGGCATCACCAAGCAAGGTCAGAGGCTCCAGGGCTGGTGTGTTCCAGGACTGGAGAGGGAGCCAATAAAGGGCTGGAGCTGAAAGGAAGATGCCAAGATGAGCTTCTTTGTAGTTCTGCAGGGGAATAGGCTTGCACTGTCCCATGGATATGTGAGAATCAGAGGGTTGTTCTGATGATTTCTGCAGACTGAAATGAAAGATTGGGTAGGGAGAGATGCTATCAGGTCCATCAAGATGCAGCATTTCAATATCTTTTAATTAATTTTTCTTAGAAGAAAAGGTCTCTATGTACTTGCCACATTCTCCCTTTTGGCACATTAGACAGTTTTTTTCTTGCCTTTTTAGAGTTCTGAGATTCCTCACAACCCATCCTTTCATGTGCAGACTTCTGGCTTCAATCAAACAGCCTTGCTCATCAAACAGGGTTTTATTTCTGCCCAGCTGTAAGAGCAACCTGACACAGCTTCATCTCCAGGGTTTGGATCACCTCTCCAGCCCCTCTTCCACCTTCTCTCATCAACCTTTGAGTAGCAGAACTTCACTGGGGACACCCCTGCCCTTGCAGAGGAAGGTTTCAGCTGTCCTTCCCCAGTTCCTGGTGCCTCTGAGGTCCAGCCGTGTGGACTCTGTGGCCCATGGGGATGCTCAGAGCTGCACTCAGAGGCAGCAGGTCGGATAACACCCCCCAAAAAAAACCAGTTGGGACATTACTGTTTGGCTCTGTCAGAGGACTTTTTTTAACAGCTATTTTTTGGGCACTGTCAAACATTCAATAGCAAATAGGCAATTTAATTATATCTTACCATCTGCCTGTGTCCTGCCTCTCATCTCCTCTGTGCTGGGTGATGGGTTGCTCCAGGTACGTTCCTGTAGGAGGAAAGGGTTTATGAGATGTTCAGATGTGCCCTTCTCGCAGGGAGTCTCGGTACCTCAGACATGTTTGGCCGTAGAGTTTCCCACCTACTTCAGTTCAAACAGTGGTAGGACCTGGACTTGCCCAGAAGAACGTTGCTCATAGATGAGCTGAATCCTGAAAGTCAGCAAATCTCCCCTATTCTTCCCTTTTTAGTCTACTTAGAATTGAATTTTCCCTAGATCCTACGTGTATCTGTTATTGGGGAGAGTTCACATCCCAACCAGCA